TGGTATAAATGCTGGGGAATGTTCCTTTTTTTTTGTTCCTTTTATCCCACCTCGCCATTACCTGTCTTGGTCGTCCCTTGCATGCGCACTTTGTAGAGTTACTGACAGGTCCACTTTAATGATTTATTTTTTGTAATTACAGTTCTGTTCTTCCATCACAGGAAACCAAAGACAAACTACGAGATGCAACAACGAAACTGAACCAAGCTAAAGAAGAGGCGGATCAGGTCCGGCGGAATTGCCAGGAGATAATAAAAACTTACCAGGTACCATTTTTTTTCGGGGATTTTTTTTTTTTTCTCCAAATCCTTCTCAGATGCCACCAGCATCCAGCAAGCATTTCCAGAACTACAGGAGGGTGACAACTCTGCTCTGAATTATGAAGCAGTGCAGCACAGGTATTTGTGGGACTTTACAGGAAGACTAAGAGAAAACTGTAAAAGTGTAGATCTACTTATCATTTAGTGATGCAGAATATATATATTTTTCTTCAATGGGAATCCAAAGTTCTGCATTAACACCTGTGAGGATTGAACCCGAGTGGAGAAAATCACTGATTCTGATATTTCTGGATTTGGAACGTTCTAAGTTCTAGTCCCAGTGCTGTTATAATTTAATGTCTTTTGAAGAAGGTGGCGTGTGCTTTGTTGGAGCATTACAAAGACATATATATTTCTGTTCTTTCTTTTAGGAGTCGGAGGAAATCAAATCCAATGAACTGGACGCTAAACTTCGGGTCACAAAAGTGGAGCTGGAGAAACAGATGCAGGAAAAATCCAACACCCTGGAGGTAAAGGTGTGTGTATATACAGTATGTACTCTACGTGTGTGTGTGTATATACAGTATGTACTGTATGATTTTATATATAATTAAATTTTTGAATGACTGGTGTCTCACCAGTCATTAGAAAATTTCACCAGTCAGCATGACCAGACTATCGGCATTGCAATTTATGTTAACATTTTTTGGGGACAGATAGAGCTTTCTTTTGGAGGTATATAATCACCTCGGGGGTTATTTTTGTTACTATGTAATGAAAAAAGTAAAAGGAGAAAAAAAAAAGTTTCCCTACACTATGTTATAAAACATTTATTATTACCCATATTTTTGGTAAAACCTAAAAGTCGGGGTCACGTCGGGTAAATAGACACCAAACATGTCAAGCCTTAAAATTGCGAGCGCCCGCAAAATCGCAAAAAACGCCCATAGGCGACGCTTAAAACGCTTTTACTGCTCATCAGTTTAGGGTTATCGGTGATTGATGGCCCTAAAATTATTGCTTTCACTCCGACGTTTGCGGCGATATGTAACATGTGCGGCACAATAGGCGCAATCGGCGTTTTCGCACGTAGGCGCACCCGACGCATTTTTGAGTGTGTATGTGGTGGGCGGGGACTTTAAAAAAATTTGTTTTCTTTTAAAAAAATGTTTTTTATGATTCTTTAACTTTTGTATTACTTTTTTTTTTTTTTTTT